TTACAGACTAAGGAATTATACTTACCTCTTGGACACTGCTATAAACCTATAAAGGATCCCTGTAGCTGTGTCATTGTTATAGTACTGCTGTTAAAAATGCCACGGTACTGTAACAGTATAATTACTAAGATATGATTAAAATATCAGTGTTACTCAGATAAGTTGTTTTCTATTTCAGATAAAAGCCTTATCCAGATAGCGTAAATTATAACAGTAAAGTAATTTTTTAAATCAATATCTTTAACTGCTAATATTCTTTGAATATTGATAATTTTGGTTAATTGGCATTTTTATTATTTAAGCCTTCTGTGCTTTTATTTTATTCTTTAAGTTCATAATAATCTTCATTCTAGTAGGCCATTTTCTGAATTAAAATCTGTATATTACTTAGCTAATTCAATATAATAATCAGAGTAAATAATATTAACTATAAACCTTCATTAAGCGGCATACTATCTAAAGTTCTTTGTCTAGTAAATCTTTCTGACATAATAATTCCAAAGTGATCCTTCCTTATTTATTTCTTATTATGAAAGTGAGAGTTTCTAAGGAAATTATTAAATTAGTATTGTGTAAGCTAATTAGAGATTAGTCGACTTAGTTAACTTAGCCAAGTTGGTCAATTTTTTAAAAAATAGGCTTAGTCGACTCTGAATTAATCATATTCTAAATCTATTTATCATTATTTATTTATATTATAGAACCCTGAATAAGAAATATATATTGAAAATAGATTCACAATTCTGTAGATTTAAAATTCAGTTAAGTGGATTTTGGGTCCTAAAACAACTCAGGTATAAATAAAATTTATTATGATATTTTCTATCTTGAAATTTTTTGATTAATTTGGCTAGTCAAAGATCATCTCTAAATTGATGCTTATATTTTATTACTTAATTGACAAAGCTGACTAAATTATTTTTATAGTTTAAACTTTGAATACTAAAACTAGAACTTACTTTAAATAGCTTTAAAATAAGTTTTTCATCCATTACTAAATTAATTCCAAATTGTGGCAAATAATTACAAACACAGATGGCTAAAAAAAAAATCATAGATCTTTAAATTACTATACTAATAAAAAGCAATAAAAGTAATAAATAAACTTAAATACGATACTACTGAGCACGTGAGATTTTGTTCAAGTTTTTGGCACTTGGGCCTTGTAAAAACAATACTGAGGCTTAAATAAGTGTTTTTTTTACTTTAGTTTATATTCCTTGTTTGAAATGTATCAATTTAATATACTAATAACTTTACTATCTCTATTCCAGGTATACTGCTTGTCTCAGAGTCATGTATCACGAGATTATAGATAACTTCAATAATTGGTTAATTAATAATTTAATGACGATAGATTATGAAATTATCAGCGAAATTACTATATATAAGGATGAGTTACGCTAATTCAGTTCTTTACTTTCTCTTTCGTGTACTACCTCGAAACTGCAACATCCGGGATGGTAATTGCCCCTTCACAACAAACACCATTAAATATAGTTATAATCATCTTTATTTTTACTAAATAAAACTCCATTCTTGATAAATTCATCCAATATCTAATATTATAATTCAGAAACTAAAGGTGGCAAATTAGATAAAAATAAATCTTCCAATTTTTATTTTGCTAATTGATTTTCTGCAGAATAAATTTCAGAATCATAAAAATCCAATTCATTATCTATCTCATTATCAGATTTTTTATCAGATTCTTCATCCAATTGTTTATCACTTAATAATTCCTTCCATTCATTAACAACAAAATCCTAATCAGTTTTAGAATTAATACTATTATCCTCTTCAAGATTAATGCCACTGTCTGTTTCTTCATTATTTGATTCAAATGTTTGACTTTGATTAAATAAGGCTGATAAAAAATCAGATGACGAAGGTAAATTTGATTGATTGTAATTAAATTTAGATTCTTTAGGTTTTCTTGTTCTCAAAATCTCTGCATGAAGTTGACTCATTGCAATTACTTTTTTATTCTATAATTGAAAGATAATTTAAAATTTATACATTAAAAAATATAAACTAAATACGGGTACTATAAAGAAAAACTTTGTAATTCTTACTATATAAATAAAAATTCCAACTTTTTTTTTTGCAGCACTTATATAAGACAAACTTACTTTTAGTTTGTTATGCAATGGTGAATGCAGAAAACCCATAGTAGAAAAAAGCCTTTCTACTGAAGCTATTGTAACACATATACCAAATAAGTGACATGCTACACAACTTAATTCTGGTGCTATCCCAGAATTATATGATCACTAAAAAATGATATTATCATTAAATTGTTTGAAAGTTTTTTCAATAAAAGGATATTTTTGTTGCTTATATAATTCAAATTCAAATAATAACTTATTAGGTTCAGAACCAAACCATGCTTTAAAATAATATAATAACTACGCACCTATATGCATATAATTAATATATGATAAAGACTAATTAAAGTAATTAAGCTTATATAAAAGATAAAGAACAAAAGAAAGAAGTAAAATTGGTTGTTCCTATGTACTCCATCTTCTTTCGAGTCTCGTAATTATTTTTGTTCGAAATTATAAAATATTAAGATTTTTAAATACTTGTATAAAAAAAGTGAAACTATGTAAAACATAATAAAGACAGGCTTTGTTTCATTGCATGAGATTAAGAGCAATACAAAAGGGGTATAGTAGATCTCGTAATGTCATAAGGGAATCCCAAAAGGTATCATGATTAATTATTGTTTTAATATCATCCAGAAGTTGTAAATCGTCATCAAAAACTAGATCATTTTTGGCATCAAGAGTCTGTTAAATAAGATTTATTTAGTTAAATTATATAAAAATTTAATATTCTAATTATATCTTACCCTATCCATTCTAATTCCTTTGAGTATAATTAAAATATTACTAATATATCTATTCTAATTATATTCAGAGATTAGAATAATTGAGGTAAGATATTCTTAGACATAATTAGAATAGGTAAAAAATATTTATTTAAATTAAAAAAATATACCTTTAGTACAGATTTATTTTTTATAATGCTATCAAAGTATTTAAAAAAGCTATTCCACCTTACCAAGCATGGTGTAATAAAATTAATATTTTTTTTTAATATACTTAATTGTTTATCATGCAATTTAGCAGTAAAATATACTGAATGATGAAAGAATGTAACTATTTGAATTGCATTTTTACTTGTATTTTTAAATAAAAGAGACTCCTTAAATAGTTCACTAATACAACAGTTTGCCTGATGGGCAAAACATAGAATAAATACCTTATCACGCATTTCATTTCTCAAATAACATCTAGTCGCAGCATATGCATCAGCAGAATCAGTTACAAGACAGTTCGCTTTTATATTTAATTTTTCAGCTTCTGCAAAAAGAGCATGAATCCTAGAAATTACTTCTTTTTGCTGTTGTCTTTCTCTACTTATATTATCAGCTCTCTAAATTAAAACTTCTTCTGAAGATGTAATAAATACTATTCTTATTATTTCTTGTTTTACTATATTACACCAACTATTAAAAGCGATTGTGACTCCAATTTTGTCTTTACTGGCAAGTTCTATAATTGATTCTTGTAGTTCATTCGCCGCACTTATTAAAATACGATCGCTTAGAGATTTTCTATTAGGCAATTTTAAAAGTGGACTAATAAACTGAAATAATGCTTTAACTTCAGGATTTTCAATCTACTAAAATGTCAAGCCAGCTGAAACAGTAGCACAAAGTAAAAGACACTCAAATTTAGGGATCTATGAAGCGTTAAATAGACATCCAATATATTGTAATATCTTGGTTTATTTTTTTTTAGGAATAGAAGTTGATGTTGAAGATGAATTAGCAGGTGAACTATCAAAATTTACTAATGAATTAGAAGAGATATTCTCTTCAACTTCATCTTCGTCATCATCTTCATCGCTTAAAGACTTTGCATGTTTTTTTGGTAGTACTGCTAAGGTAAGCATAGCCTCTATTTGTTCTGGTAAATATTTTGCTACAAAAAAAGAACATTTTCTTATATGATTAGCACAGTAACGTTGAGTATTGGTGAGTTTCATGCTTTCATCATTCAAAGCAACATACTTTCCTACTGCTTCTATACAGGCCCGGCAAATACATTTTTTATTACTTTTATTTGCCCATTCATTTGGCAATATGTAAAAATATTCACTAAGTAGATGCTGTGGTTTTCCTCCTTTATATCCCATTAATGTTATCATTATAAAAAAATTTTAATGACAAAAACAATCAAAGTTATGTTCAAACTTGTATATAAATATAATTTATAGACTAATCATTATTAGTATAGTACATGGCAGTTTAATTAGTTTCCATTGTTGGAAAAATATTATCATCTTTACAATTTAAAACCAGAATAGTATGCAATTTAATTAATTTTCATTATTAGAAAAAACATTGTTATTTATACAATTCAACATATGCAAGGCTCAAGTTTATATGCTTCTTGATGAAGTTGACAAGCTATATAACAGGTTCAAGAAGCATAAATGAACTCTGACTTTGTACATATAAAAGAACTTAATTTGTTAAGGCTATATGTTATAGGGATTAATTAAAAAATGAATTTCTTCAAAATCTTGCTCAGTTGGTTTGATTAGGTAATTGTTTATTTCAGCAAAAGCCAAGTTCGACTTTTGCTATAACCTTATACTAGACATATTCCAACGTTCGTTCTTTCATTCACACCTTGCCTCTTCACTTACTTACGTCTCCAACCTTTAATCTTAAAGGTATCACAGTGCTGCAAGTTTGGCTTAGATATTTTATTTTAAAACTAACAGAAATAGAGGTTCGATTTTCAAGGTTGAACCTCATATTTATTTAATTTGTCTTGTGCGATTACATCATCGTTTTGCTAACAATAGGCTTTATAGTGCCTTTATAAAGTTGCATCATTCGCATAACCTTATTTCTAATTATAACATTGATCAATGTTTAATTAATTTTGGCCTATGTATGTTATACTCCATATTATCGATTCACATGCATCTAATAAAATATATGTCACTATATAAGGGATTGACTTATTCTGATTAGAGTGCCGCAAAGAGAAAGCCTGGCAATCTTATCGAATAAGATTTCAGATTTTCCCTTTGCAGCACTCATCTACATTTTTTATATATATATACTATCGAAAGAAAACTAATACACCTCTCTAGCTCTTAAATTTATGATTTAATAGATGTAACCAATTTATTTATTTTTTAAAATTTTTTATAAAATATATCACTAGACACTGGACATAGCACTGAACAATTTGGAAATGTCCAGTGTCTAGTAAAAAAGCACTGGATATAGCTTATCCAACCTTGATTGTTATAGTGTTGTTTTTTTAAAATAGCCCAAATATTTGCATATCTCTAGCTATTTGGTATTTTTTTGATTGCTAAACAGGCATTGAAAATCTGAAGAAGAATTTGTTTTGCTGATATTGGAAGGTTTTGAATCATTTTATTAGATATTTCTGAAGGGCCAGTAGTTTTATGTAGTTGTGATAATGTTATAGTTTCTGTTAATTCAAAGATTGATATTGGTTGTAACAAGTTATTATATAGGTTAGAGTTGATATTCAGTAAAGGTTGAAGAAACTAAGTCCATTTATGTTCAAAATTAGGGTTTGTTAAGTTGTGTTTAGTTCAGTTGTTAAAGTGTTCTTTTGTTGCTTGTTTTATTTTTTCTGGATTATTAATTATTTTATTTGATGTTATGATTTTGTCGAAAGAGACTTGGTTTTGGTTGTGTTTAAGTATACTGTTTATCATACGTGATGTGTTTGATTCCATGTCATTATATCTTCGTTATATATAGAAATTTATTTTTTCTTTTTGTGCATTTTGGATTTCTAGACTGTAAGCTTTCTATAAGCTTTTTTTAAGCTGTTTTACTGTTTGTTGAAGGTTATTGAAGTTTGAAGTAAGGTTCTAGGTTTGGTATAGAGAAATAGTTTGTTCTGAGTATAATGATATTTGTTGAAATAGATTGTTTAGATCTTGTATTGTAGACTGAATTAAAG